ACCGTTTGACAGTAGCCCCTAATATTTACGGATGACAGTATCCTGATGAATATCGATTACTGTAACCCATGACAGTTGCCGTTGACAGTAGCCTCTAATAGTTACCAATGACAGTAGCCCTTTTAGTTGCAGTTGACAGTAGCCCATGGCAGTTGCCGTTTGACCTAATATTTACGGATGACAGTAGCCCATGACAATTTCAAATGACAGAGGCTCCTAATAGTAGCCTCTTATGATTACCAATGGTACTAGCCCATGACAGTTGCCGTCGTCAGTGGCCTCTGATAAATATAGTAACCCATGACAGTCTCATTTGACAGCAGCCCCTGAGAGTTACTGTTGACAATAGCCTCTCATAGTTAGACACGATAGGGGCCTATGATAGTTGAAGTTGACAGTAGCCGCAAATGGTAGTCCATGACAATTCCTGTTAACAGTAGCCCATGAACCCCGACTGTTACAGTTGACAGCAGCCTCTGACAGTAGCCAGTGCTAGTAGTCTCTAGAAGTTGCTGTATAATTTTCCTCTCAACGCAATAATTTCGAGAAAAAAATAACCAAACATGAACCACTTATTATATACCTACCTGTAGATATAATACGTGCGATTGAACAAAAATAAGGCGTCCTGTGCGAACGAAATTTGGCTCCCAAAATCAGCTGTCATGTTCTATTTATAGTTAAAGAGGCTTAGAACACATAAATAATTATCAGAACGCATGAGCGCGCACTTACGGACACTAACATGATGGGCACCATAAATTTTCTAATTTAACGTGACGTTTTCAGCTTTCGATTTGTTAAACAGGAATTATATGAATCGGAAATAATTGAGACGGCCAAGCGATAATTTACTTGCGGCTTACTTAGATACCAAGGAAGTCTTGTTTCACTGACATTGGCCCAACCAACAAAAATATTTTCTTTTTTTTGAGAATATTAATATTCTGAAAATCGATGTAATTTTACAATTACATGNAAATTAATGACACAAAAAAATGGAAAACGAAATGAATACAAGTTACAAGAAATATGATATAAGGTTAAGATTAGTGTTATTTGAAAGAAGTTATTGAAAAGTGCACTTTTAACATTAGATACATAACTTTGGTATTAAATAACATGGACCAGTGATAAAATATGAGAGGTATCTAACAACAGTCACAAATATAAAATTTTTACAATCGGAACAATTATATTTTTAAACAGAATTTTCTGGGTTATTACATAAACCGACAAATTCCATTTTCCGAGAAACTAGACTTACTTCACTAATTATAAGATAGGGCCCGTACATAAAAAAAGTGTTTTTATGAACGAAATGATTGGTCCGGAAGTGACGCGTTGTAGTTGGGGTCGCGTTGTCAACTGGAGGAATTTATCAAAGTTGCTTTACTAACTGCTTTAATAATTTGTCTCGACTCTAGGAAACGATTAATTAACGAAAACAGATAAGTAGTACAAGTTCGAGGAAATAGGCAATTATTCTACACCGAATGTGGCGCCTAACTTTTTTAGAACGTCCTTGTACCAATCGAACTGCGTTGCAACTTAGTGGACGACTTGTGAACCGACATACCACATAAAACTTTTTATGGCGATCCGAAAGCCAAAATTATCGTCAAATAATTTAATTAGACACATCCATTCTTTACGGTAAAACTAAACGACAGCTACCCTGATGCCACATATAAAATTTGACAATCCTTAAGAGTGATTTTTCTCCTTTGATATTTAAGAGGTGATTGTTTTATTATGCGTCAAAATTCTATTTTCTTCTTGAAAAAATGTCGTTACAACTTGTTTTATTTATTAATGCACCAACGATAACCGTCTATAAATAATATGCTGGAATTACATTTAATATTCTGCATGCATGCGTATGTATGTGTGTGTAGGACATAATATGTAGCATTGATGGGTCGTCATTAAACCGGAAGCCAAGCCCGCATGATTTAACAGTGACCGTCATTAATTCTGGATCGAGTTCAAATGGGAGTTCATTCGGTCGTGAATGAGATTTTGCAAGTCCGAGGACGCGATAGAGGTTGGCCCACGCGGACCGACCGAGCGCCGCGCCGTTTGGCCCGATCCACGCTCCACTTATCGACGCACTATCGTAATAGTGTTCATTCATTTAATCGTACGTGCCCGCAATGTAATAACGACGTTGTTGCCAATTAAAATCATAGATTTTAAGAAAGCAAAATGGTCGTTTGGGAACGTTCAAGTATCATGCAAATTGTGGAGGATTTTTTAACATAACAATTAAAATATTTTCATGATCAAAAAACTTCTTAAACTATTTTTAAATGGAATTCTACGTATAATACCATAAATCACACAGCGGGCAAGAAAAGAACTTACGGGAAGTTTTCGGAAATAATCGTGTCCTTATATGTGAATAAATCACCATAGCTTATCCATATGGCATTGAGCAGCTTCTAGGTTTAATATAAAAGTTTCGACTGCTTTTTTCAACTCTACGAACAGGCATAACCCTTAAGCTTGATTATTAATACAAATAGTATATAATATACAATTCATTTTGTCTTTTAAAATTATAAATAGGTAGCTACTTAATTTCAAAAATATTTGAAAACTTCCCATTGAAATAAAGAATTAGAGTATTATCAAGAAAGATGCCTAATTTTTGATTCAATCTAAATTTGGTGTTACATATTTTTTGATATTACGGATTCGCAATTGACTCAATGTTATTTATATGAATTATTTGATGGAGTTATATTGTCATCAAATAATGGCAACGTTGTGTCGTTTAAGTTCCGGATTGCAATATTAACAATGGCATATAATATCCGATTGTCCAACTGATCAGGTCACTGAACCATTCGGAAATTATTGTTGCACATATCCAATTGGTACACCTACAGTAATTTACTCATTATCGTTTAGTGTGCCAATATATATGAAGGCAGTTTCATTTTATGTAACACCATTGTATTGTCTCGATTTATGTTATTCCGTCGGCAATTAAGCACCTTTTGTGTTGCTAAATGGTCACTTTTATTCAAATTTAACGCGACATTGACCAGCATGTATGAATGCAGGACTGCTATTGTGCATATAGTATTTATTTGTGAGTAATTTGAACGGGAAGCAATTTCCTTTTTGTAAATATAATTTACGAAATATTCGTAGCCTTTATTACCATAACTTCAAATAAATACTTGAAATAGTAAATTTGGGAAAATCCAGACCACAAATTCAAAGTGTCGTTAGGTTTAAGACTGATTGGACACGCATCTCCTGTCATCTTTATTCTGAGCTAATATTCCTATTTTTCTAAAACTAGAACATACCACATCCTTAACTATCCGTAAACTGTAATCTAATCTACGTCTACCTCTGCTCCTCTTAACTGCTGTTTCTGCTTTTAATATGTCTCTTACTAGCCCTTCAAGCTTGAGAAGGTGTCCTACCAACCTATCTCACCTATTTCCAATTGACCCTCTGTTTTCCTACTCTTACCTCCTCATTTTCTAACCTTCTACAGGTCTGACGAAGGAAGCTGGTGAGCGGTCGCGCAGGTACTTGCCCGTTTATGACCTATTTGGGTAAGTCACTTGGAACCGATACACAAATAAGCTTTCAGTAGGCGTAAATTATAGTATTAATACAGATGGGACAGTAGCGTACTAGAAAATAATGTAAAAACATGACTTATCAAAAAACATTAACCTATTGCTTTTGTTTTATAGGTAGTTTTCACATTCACTGTCATCATCGGAATCTCTATCACTGTCACTAACATCAACCATTAGTTCTTCTGTTTGTATGTCTATTACTTACTCACTGATCCCTGCTTTTAAATATTTAATCCACGCCCCTGATAGGAATACTGAAGAATGAGGGCTGCAATCTTTATACCTAAAACTGCCTACCTTTGCCACCGCGCATCCACGCCATTGTAAAATTTCCGCCAGCTTCCAGCGTCAGGCCTGTATCCTCATCATTTGCCTGTAACATCACATTTCAAAGGCTTCTAACCTATTCCGCAGCGACCATCGTCCGTGTTTCGCACCCGTACAGCGCCGCGTTCCAGACATACATTTTTAATAATCTCTAAATTAACCGTTCGTGAGCAAACAAGGAACTTCCTTTTGTTGAAGGCCACTCGACCCTGCACTATCCTTTATATCTCTATTGCTCGTTCCATCTTGAATTATCTGACTTCCTAGATGCCGAAAATCAACGACTTCTTGTAGTTTTCCATTTTTTCGCGCAATGAACGTCGAAAGAAGGGATTTTATTTTTGTGTATTGTCGTTTTTAAAACGTGTTAGAGCTACTATATTTTATGCACGTCTGCCGAGAGAAAAATGCAATTTAAACTAGAATGTATTAGCTTTTAAATTTGCTTAAGTGGCCATTATTTCTATTAAAATGACAACCGAAAGAGATGCTCTAGTGTGGAGTGTGTCATGATACTTAAAAAGAACAGTTGCGGAAATAAAAGAAATGCCACAGATGTCTTTTTGATGGTTAATCGGTACTCTTTGATGTCTAGGTTTAACGAACTGTGCATAAAGATTAATTACTCGAACGACATAAGATTTAAACATAGCTAAAACGAACTGCTTTTATATTGGACTTACGTACAAGGGTTGTAGTGAAAGTTATAAAACTTAGCTGTAGTTTTCCTACGAACCAAAAAAAAATTAAGTAACGTACTTTTAATTACCTACATCTTTCTCCTAAACACAAATTAGTAGAATCTTTCTTCTACTTATTGTAAGTACTTATAAATGATTAGTAATATAGAGTTAAAGGAACGGCGGCAACTTTAGATGACTTTCAAGATTAATGTTTTTAGAATGACTACTAAATTTGTGAGGTTAGGTTAACGTAGTTAGTTTTGCTCATGCGCGCATGCTACACGTTTGATTCATTCTAAAAACATATGCAGCTTCTGTCGTATATAGAATAATTTAGCAAATATTTTTCATAATAGTTATAACAGATTCTTTTTTGTTACAGGTAAGCGAACTGTTGGAAACTTTCTGCATACATACACGTAAGACTTTTTATTTTAAAATATTTCATGTGTTTCTGTCGTCAGCGTAACTTCATTGAAAATTTATTTTGTTATCGGTGCTACGTATTCCTAGTTACGTGGGTATATATTTTCTTATCCTTCCCACCATGTGTCTTCTTTTATTCGATTCGTAGGTAATCTTTATACAAAGGCCAAAAAATATGAATAGCCGTTACCAATCAGATTCCTATTAAGGAGTAGTGTAGTAATGGTTTCGTTTTGTAGCCAAGGCTGCGTAACCGTACGCGTGACCGTCAAAATTCGTATTCAAGTAGCAGCCAGCATGAATGTAAGCTTTTTGTTAAAACCAAATTTAGATGAACCATTGTTAATGGTTACGCAATTATCAAAAAACTTGACGACCGACGCGATAGTCTTAGAAGGATATTCTTAGCAGAATAATGGCAGTAAATCGGCTTAGGTACAAGAAAAATAGTGAAATAAGTACATCTTTTACATTTTTATTATCTACCTTAAACAAATCGGAAGCTTGAATAATAGTATATAATAATGTGGTATTGCTCTAGAATAGGTGCAGCTGTCTCCTCTGATGATACATGTTGTGTTACTATTGACTATCGAGCGGAGGCCTTTTGTACATGCTGACATTATGAGAGGCGTGCTTAGGACGCTGAGGTGCTATTTATGGAACTCGTTGCGGTTTTATGATGCCATTTTATTCTATCTATATACGGGGTCTGTTCAAAAAGTATCGCGAGTTTTGAATTTCCGATGGTTCAAAGAATCTATATCAAATTTTATGTGAAAAGCAAAATTAAGTGCGCGGACGAATTCCCAATGTTAACTGTGGCATATGGTGAAGCTATCTTGGACCAAAGCAACGTTTATCGGTGGTACGACAAAGAGCGTGCCGGACACCCGAACACGTCAAAAGCAGACGAAAACATTGATTAATTGAAAAGAATAATATTGGCCAATCGTCAAATCACCGTTAGAGAAGTTGTTGAGAACCTAAACATATCGATTGGTTCCTGCTATTCGATTTTGATCAATAATTTGGGTATGAAACGGGTCGCCGCGAAATTCTTACCAAAATTGCTCAATTTCGACCAAAACCAGCATTGCATTAACATTGCTAAGTAGCTGTTGGATTATGTCCGCGACGACCCAAATTTGCTCTAGACGGTCATAACTAGTGACGAATTATGGGTTTATGATTATGACGTGGAAACCAAAGCTCAATCATCCCAATGGAAGCTGCCGCAGTAGCTAAGACTGAAAAAAGCCCATCAAGTTAAATGTGAATGTTTTGCTTACATTTTTCTTCGATTGCAGAGGCGCGGAGCATCATAAATTCTTGCCACAGGGTAGAGTGGTCAATAAGGAATATTGCCCACAAATTATTCCCAATTTGCGCTAAGCAATCCGCCAGAAACGCCTGGATTTGTGGAAGAACAAAAATTGGCGTTTACACCATGATAACGCCCCTGTTCACACATCGTTGTCGTAACATTGTGCGCCAATTTTTGACCAATAACAACACACTAATAATACCGCAGCCACCCTATTCCCCAGATCTGACACCCTGTGACATCTTCTTGTTCGCGAAATTGAAAAGGAACGTGAAAGGACGACGCTACGTTACGATTGACGAGATAGAAGCGGCATCGAAGGAGGAGCTGAACAAGATCACAAAAAATGTTTTTTTGAAGTGCTTAGAGGATTGGAAAAAAACGTTGGCACAAGTGTTTAATATCTGGTGAGGATTACTTTGAATAAATAAATAATTTTTGGAATAACACAAAATTCTCTATGCTTTTTGAACAGACCTCGTATGCATATACCTACTACATCAACTTTACTCACTTATAAAAATTGTTTAAGTGCCTAAAAAAGACATGATAGCTGCCTCAGTATCTATTAACAACAACCAGGATGTGTGAATTGTAATATAGTGAACACAGGTTCGTAGATTAAGAGTTCCTCTACCACCTGTGCGCTTATTGGTACTGTGTTACACAACAGTTTCTGTTTAGCTTCGGAATTTTAATTTTTTTGTTGTGGGCAGACAAAGTACTGTAATATTATTAAGCTGCCTACTCGTACCAGGCAACCGTGAAAACGTGGGCCCATATGGTCGGATATTGCCCTGCGACTACTCATATATACGTTTCGTATGTTTAATATGTGTAGCAAACACATATTCTGACCATCAGTGACGCAGAAAACTTTTAAGCCGTTACTATTAATTGGTGTTGGATTTAATTTAAGTACCAATAATTAGATAATCAATGAAGTTTACATAACCCAAAAAATATGCCCTTTTCTGAAAATCGGTAAGGGAGCTACTTGTGGAAATGAATAGAATTTTATCGTAGCATGGAAGTTGTTCATTAACTTCACAAACCGAATTCTAACTAATAAAACGAAGAAAACCATCGCACTTACATTTTAACCATAGCTTTCCCCCATCCCGAGTAAAAAATGTTCAGTCTTTAAGAGTCTCTGAAAGCGAGACTCGAGTCTCTCTGGTGTCGCTGAGAGAGACTGTCAAAAAAACTGTTTAGCGTCTCTGATCGAGAGACTCGAGTCGCTCATAGAGAGATCCTCATTTCGTATCCAGTCACTCAATAAGTGGTGACTCGATAGACATGGTTAAAATTTTCTAAGTTCAACATGTTTCAGAGATCCCAGGTCTTTCTACGAGAGACTCGAGTCTCTCAATTTTTCAGTTTTATTCATTCAGTCTCTCTGTGAGAGTCTCGAATCTCTGAATTAACAATTTTATCNGGTTCGGAATTTTAATTTTTTTCTTGTGGGCAGACAAAGTACTGTAATATTATTGAGCTGCCTACTCGTACCAGGCAACCGTGAAAACGTGGGCCCATATGGTCGGATATTGCCCTGCGACTATTCATATATACGTTTCGTATGTTTAATATGTGTAGCAAACACATATTCTGACCATCAGTGACGCAGAAAACTTTTAAGCCGTTACTATTAATTGGTGTTGGATTTAGCATAAGTACCAATAATTAGATAGTCAATGAAGTTTACATAACCCAAAAAATATGCCCTTTTCTGAAAATCGGTAAGGGAGCTACTTGTGGAAATGAATAGAATTTTATCGTAGCATGGAAGTTGTTCATTAACTTCACAAACCGAATTCTAACTAATAAAACGAAGAAAACCATCGCACTTACATTTTAACCATAGCTTTCCCCCATCCCGAGTAAAAAATGTTCAGTCTTTAAGAGTCTCTGAAAGCGAGACTCGAGTCTCTCTGGTGTCGCTGAGAGAGACTGTCAAAAAAACTGTTTAGCGTCTCTGATCGAGAGACTCGAGTCGCTCATAGAGAGATCCTCATTTCGTATCCAGTCACTCAATAAGTGGTGACTCGATAGACATGGTTAAAATTTTCTAAGTTCAACATGTTTCAGAGATCCCAGGTCTTTCTACGAGAGACTCGAGTCTCTCAATTTTTCAGTTTTATTCATTCAGTCTCTCTGTGAGAGTCTCGAATCTCTGAATTAACAATTTTATCGTTCGAATCGCTCATACAGAGACTGTGGGAAATCCATAAAAACACCTAGGCAATAACTGAGAGACTGTGAAAGACTGTGGGAGACGCTCTCAGAGACGCTGAAAGACTCTGAGCGACCTAAAATTTTTGTCTAGGGATTCCATAACCTAATAATGATTCGTCAGCTGGCGACAAATTTTTGAATGTTCAGCAACACCAATGTCTTTTACAACCCATACGTATACCATTGTATAAACATATTCTGTACGGTAGGGTCACTCCTTTGATATAGCCTAAAACCCCGGCGTTTTTTGCTGGCGGTCATAAACCAGCTTTATGTGTGCTGAACTGTTATACATTTACGAGGATGGTTTAGCTACTTTACCAGAGAGCGTATAGATATATTTGCGTACTGTAAATACTTGTAATGACAGCCTCGGCTTAGAGGAAAATCGTAGATGAATTAGGAAGCTTCGGCAGTAGGGGAGTGTAGGGGCCATGGCTGGAAAGTGGCCTTACTGCATACGATATCTTTATACTATACCTCCTTTTAAACATTAAAATTAAAACATATCAGTTTTATTCCAACACAAATATGAAATTTAAAGAAAAACCAACCCGAAACTAATATACAAAAAAGGTAAACGTACGCTACCAACAATTTAATTAATTCATAATTTATAGTAATATAAAGTGTGGGACGCCACTGGGTTTGGACGCATGCAATATATTAAAAGCAAATTAGTAGTCGTTAAAAATCTGATGACCGCATTAAAAAAATATAATTTATAGTGACAACGAGGATGTTGGTGAATTTTACTACCGAAAACGTGTTCCGTCGTTTAGCAGTCGATTATTTTAAATTGGAATAAATAGGACAAATTTTATTTCTCAAATTTCAATTAATCAGAGCGATCGTCAGCTCCGCAAACCCACGTCTGTTTAATAAGTAAAATAGTTATTTTAAATTTAACAAAATACAAGTGTGACGCTTCTATTATTTATGGGTAGGACATTACGCGATAAATTTTACTTGCTATAAAACATTAGGTTGAGTGAGTTCAACCTCATTTTCACGGAAAATGATATGAATATGCAATACGGTCCACAAGAAGTTGAACTCTTACTGTCGAACTCCTGAAAAGTCTGTCTAATGTTACCTATTTTTATTTGTAGTTATTTTTCTATTAATAGGTGCTTGTTTAACCCTTCAAGGGGCTTCTAACGTCCGGTCCTTTAAAAATCATTAAAACCAAAAACAAATGCGAGTCTTACAATTATAGTCGCTGAAGATATCTATGTATGTAACATCAGCATCTAATTCTTGTAACGAGTTTGAGAGAAAATTTGAAATTTGACCAAAAACTTTGAATGAAATAAGAAATAACGAATAATATGGAAAATTTTTAACTGATTTTTGGCAGTGAATATGCCTTGATTTCAACTTCGAAACAAAAANTTTCTACGGCAAATTCAGTAATTTACAATCGAAAAT